TCTTTGGGGTGAACCAGCCTTTGCCGTAATGTGTTTTGGGGTTTGAAAGCCACTGGGACATCATGTTTAGAAAATAAACGTCTCAGTTTCTCCAAAACACCCGCATCCTGTACTAACGCAACAGCTAGCTTTACGAATGACTCATTTTATTTTTTAAAATCACAAACCATTTAGTTTTGGACTTTACCTCATATACTTGCGCAAAGTGATGGTCGTCCGACGCGGAGACGTATCGGAAAAATAAATCCTTCAAACCGGTTCAAATCCTGAATGAATCGTCCAGTTTACTGAACCAGAAGTCATGATTCTTCTTCTTCTCCCTTAATTAGCAGCACAGCCTTAAGAACTACAGTTCATGACTTTAACTCAAAATAATAGTTTATAAATGCTAAATGGAAACCATCAGAGTCAAAAGCACAGAAAAATACTGCACATATCGGGGATTACTGGATTTAAAACTAAAAATGTACACTTCATTTGCACTGGTAGGGTAAGTTTAAACCTTTTGAGAGTAAAACCCTGCTGCATTTTTCCAACCTCACATTTTTCACTTAATATTCAATTATAATCTAAAAACACTTTATTTATCCCAGAGGGAAATTAGGTAATGTAATGTTTGTTTTTTTTCCTTGATAAATTGAAAATAAAACACAACTTTAACATCTTTATTTCATAAAATATCGAAACATGTAACATTCAGAGAAATTTAACCAAAATACTACGTGAATTTCAAGTTCAAACAGCATGCTTTCTTCACAAGTTTAAAATAAAATATTTAATTCAATTCAAAAAATGTATTAATTTCTTTAAAAAATAACTATATACAATAAAAACAAAGAAAATACACAAATCAAAAATCAAAATAAAATGAAAGGTAGCAGAAGACTAAATCTTATAATGTCTGCCCCCCCACCCTCCACTTTTTTAAAAGGGGGATTACTGTCGAAACTTTTCAGTTCTGATTGATTTGGCAGTTCTTATGTACATTTCTTTCTTTGTTGCAAATATATACAAAAAAATTGCATACATGTAGAAAACAGCAATATGTATAAAATATTCATGGTCACATTGTTCTATTGAGTAGAAGGTACAAATTTTCATACATTAAGAAAGAAAGAATTGAATACAAAGTCTCTCCAGTGGAAAACATAAAATAAAGTCTGGTCAGTCACGAAACGAAGCATGGTTTCCAAACATTCTGTCACATTTCAGGAGGGTGTAATCCGATCAGTCAAATGAGTTTCTGAGAGATTCGTGTCGACATCCTGGTAGGCTGGAGCTTCTGTCGGAGCTGTTGGCGCTTCTTCTTATATCTCTGAAACAGTAACACACGAGTAAAACGACCTGCAGGTGGATTCTCGATGGTTTTTGCTTTGTTTTTTTGTGAGTACCTGCAGGTTTTCAGAGTGCGTTTGGCTCTTGCAGTGCTGGTCCTCAGTGGTGTTCTCGTTCAGGAAGGAAACGGAGCAGAGGTTACAGAAAAACCCCCACTTACGACTCACAAACTCTTTACCTACAATAAAGAAAATGTTTAAAAAAAAGGTTAGATCTAATCTGTGTATGGTTCGTTCTTTGGTTTTTCTGTTTAAAAATAAAACGAACAAAAACAATTATTTTTAAGTTTTAAAGCTAAATTAGAAAAATGGCAATTGCAACACTAAAGAAGGCCACTTTTTTACACTGATTAAAAAGGAAAGATGATTGTTAGTGTACCACTTAGGACCTTCTGTTGGAACCAGAAATCATGGCCTGAACTCCTGGAGCGTTACGTTTTCTCTTCTCACCATGACTAGAGTCTCCAAGAACACAACAAAATGTATTTAACGGCTAAAACGGGGGATTTCGGATCGCATGTCCCCTTTAAAACACCAATTTTTTCCAACTTCTCCAGTGGAAAACATAAAATAAAGTCTGGTCAGTCACGAAATGAAGCATGGTTTCCAAACATTCTGTCACATTTCAGGAGGGTGTAATCCGATCAGTCAAATAAGTTTCTGAGAGATTTTTTTTCCAATTTTGTTCTGAAACTGAAAAACCAAAGAATGACCCATGTATGGATTCAAACCAAGTTGTGTGTCCTCGCTTTACATGTCTCACCAAGGGGGGTTTTAGGGTCAAACGGCGGCAGTTTGAAGTTGGCACCGAAGTGAGGAGACTGAGAACAAGATCTCTTTGGTTTGGGTTCTTCGAGCTCCAGTCTTCGTTTGTTAATGCCTGAAAAAGAAAAGATGAATAAAATATTAAAACCAGACAATGGTTTATTAGTTTTAAAACAAATATTGTAAATCTCTGAATTCTTTGGAAAGATTCTAGACAATAGATACACATGTTGCAGAAAGTTTAATCATGACAAGACTGATGAGCTAAAGGCTAGTCCGAGCTGGACTTTATTTTTTCACAAATGAAGTCAGTAGTGAAAAGTTTTAAAATTGTTTGGAGTTGGTCATTAGTCCTCCTCACTGCGCCCACGTGCAATGGAAGGTATTATTTTGTGTTACTGGCGTTGCTAATCAAGCATTCACAGTGTTGAGATTATTTTTATTCCGCATGTTTTTCGACACGTAACTCGTTCTGCAATTTTTCTGCTGTTTCAACAATTTTTATATCAAAACATTCAGCTCATTCGGGACATTTTAGCTGTGATTTTTGGTACTTGTGCAAGTGACAATTTTCAGCTATTTAACTTTTAGCATTTTTCCCCTCATTGAAAATGAATGGAGCCATCGTCAACATTCTTAAAACTCTTCAAAATGTTCATAAATCTTTACTGCACTTTTTACATTTTGTTCTGGTTCTGTCTTTTTTAAATACTTTACTAATTTCATCTTCTTTCAGCTTCTATTTAGCAGTTTAAAGCTTTTTACTGCTTTTTTAGCTATCATTCTGATCTTCTCTGCTATTCATTTGATTTAAACTGTTTTTGAGCTTCTTTCAGCCATTTCAAACTTTTTCTGCCCTTTTTAAGCTGTTTTCTGCTTTTAAAAGCTACTTTTTAGGTCATTTAAGATGTTTATTATAGCCAAATTAGCCTTTGTAATAGTTTCAGCTTCTTGCTGCTTAGCTCAGCAAAGTGCCTTTTCTCAGTTTCTTTGTACTAATTTTGGCAATTTCAGCCACTTTTAAAACTAATTTTAAGGCTAGTGTCAGCTTTTATTTTTTAGCTATTCAACACAAACTACATACAAATACATTATTAAGCATTCACACTGCATTTTTGCAGGAAATGCTAATTCACTGGTATTTTTGTTATTTTTCAGTTTTATTTTGTTGTAGTCAGTCAAAAAATATTTTCTTAAAATCTTTGTTGTGTTTTATTATAATTACCAACTAAAGGCAAAAATCTCCAAATATTCAATGACTGTGACAAGTATCAGCATCAGAATTGGCGATACTAGCGTTGTATCTACTTGGTATCAGATCGATACTAAATTTCCTCAAATCGCTCACCTCTAGAGAAAACAATCCACTTCTGAGAAAATGTTTATATTAAATGTCGTCACAGCTCTAATTTCATCTTTTCATACCCGTTCCGTCCTGGTCCTCCTCCACACATTCCTGTCCATCGGTGTCCTCTGCTTTGACGCCTCTGGTTGATATTCTTGTTGCGACTGAAGACAGAATAAAGTCAGTTGAATGTTTTTTAACGACCGTCTAAACAGATGAAGTTCTGCTCATCTCACCTGGACTCAGTTTGGTCGTGGTTTTTGGTCTGCCTCTTGGTCTCGGCGTCGCAGCTTTGTTGTCCTCTTCATTCTCCCTGAAGTCCTCTGAGGTCTTTAGTTCCAGCTCATTTGTGTCTTTGGTGTTTTCTGTCAGTGCGACGTCTCCTGGAGGTGTTTTTTCCTCTGTCGTTGGAGCGTCCTGTCTGTCTCTGCCAGGTGTATTTGTCCTCGTCGGGGTCTCACTCTCTTTCCTTTCATCAGAGTCTTTCTTCTCGGTCATTTTTCTTTTTCTGGTGGATCTGGTCACAATGGTCATATTGTCTGTTGCCTCTTGGGAGGTCTTCTGATTGTTTTTGGCCCCTGTTGAATTTCGTTGAAGAGGCGTTTCTGGGACAGGGATCATCTCATCAGGCTTTTTGTCCTCTCCGTCTTCTGTTTGGGACCCGGTCATCAGATCTGGTTTTACAGTCGACCCTTCATCCTTGACCAGATGCGTTTCCTCTTGATTCAAAGCTTCATCAGCAGAATCATCTGTCACTTCAGCAGAAGCGTCCATGTTTGTTTCACTACAGGTTTCGTCTTTAACGCTATCCGAGACCAGCAGGTCTTTCTCAGGTCCAGGTGTTTCGGTTTCTTGGTTCTCCTCTTTCTTTATCTGTTCAACACTTTTCTTATCAAGTGTATCCAGGATTTGGTCTATATCTTCAGTCTCTTTTGTGTTTTTGTCTTCTTCATCTTTTTCTTCGGGAGTTTCATCTCTAGTTTCCAGACTCTGGGTTTGGGGGATAAACTTCTGCTCTGGTTCCACCTCTGATAACGTCTCTACTTGTGACTCAACAGTTTTAGTAGCGCTGTTGTCTTCTGATAACTTCTGATGGGACTCCTGTTCCGATGTCCTCAAAGCTGCTGATGAAGACTGAGCTCTCAGAGTTTCAACAGACTCTGAAGAAGAGGTGTCGCTCAGGACAGAAGATGAGGGTTCAGTTTGGGGTTTGTTGGGATCAGAAGTGGAACTCGTAGACACGCTGCTGTTTGAGGACGTTGATGAAAATGTCTTTGAGGACATATCTGAGCTCTGCTCCTCTGGTTTCTCTTCAGCGGTTTGCTTAGATTCGGAAGTGTCTTTGTCCTCCATGTCTTCAGTCATTTCATCAACGGTGACCGAGTTTTGAAAGTTAGAATCTGGTTCGACGTGAAGCTTTGAAGAATGAACTTCAGTGTCTTCCTGAGCCTGGGAGGAGAAATAAGAGTTTATCAACCATTTAAAGTGAATACTTGTGGTGATGGTCCACTCCAATCTTACATCTTCTACTTCTAACGTCAAGAGTCTGAACACTTAGAAAGGAGTGTCTAGTCCTGGTCCTAGAGGGCTCCCATCCTGCAGGTTTTAGAGGTTTCTCTGCTCCAACACACGATTTAAACGAATGGACAATTAACAAGCTTCTGTGGAGCTTCAAGAAGTGACTGAACTAAAGAATCAGGTATTTCAAGTATAAAACATGCAGGATTGTGGCTCTCGTGGGCCAGGATTGAACAAACCTGGTTTACAACATGCAGCTTAGCCATAAATTAATTATTTTTGAACTTAAAAGATCATATTTTAGTTTTAAGGTCTAGTCTGTTATACCACTGTTCTGGCTGCCATCTTGAATTACTTTTGGTCAGAAACTGAGGACAAAAAACATAAAAAGTAAAAGAAAAACATTTAGTTTTTGCTGCTGGTGGTTTTATAAGATGTGTGAATTGTAATGTTTTAAAAAAGTAAGGATTTGTTTCTATTTTGTTGGGTTTTGGCTGTTTAGTTGTGGGAATTTGCTGCATGTCCCCATCTGTGACTCACATTGCTGCTTATTAATAATTGTTTTATATTTTATTCATGTTGTGAGTGAATATGATTTATGGGGATTTGATCTTTCATTTGAGTGTGTCTCTGTTATAGTATTTCTAAATGACAGTATTTGGAAAATGTGTCCAGTTTGGACATATTTGAACATGTCTAATCATGCTGGGAATCTATATTATGGCCCAAAAATTTTTTTTCCTTGATACCTCCTTCCATTCATGTTCTGGAACACTTTAAATATCTTTAAAATATTTTACGTGATAAAAACAATAGTAGGATTTTAGTGTATTTTAACCTCAATAACTAAATACTAGTAACAGTTACAAAAAATATGACTGCCGAAGTTAAAAATTCAAATTAATAGCTTCAAAAAGAGACAAGGCTTGTGAATTTACTCCAAAGTGTTCAACAGCAGTACCTAATTTAATTTGTGTATGCTTTTAAGGCATTTTTAAAGAATTTAAACCCACATTTTAAGAGGTATAAATACTTTTTTTCAATAATGGAGATTTATATCAGCCCAAAACATCCCCTTTCAGAACAAAGTCAAGCGTTTTTAGATATATTTTTGATACAAACAATGAATAAATTAAATAAAATCACCTCTTTTCTTTTTGTTGGGTTATGACTTTGTTTAAACTGAAGGATGACTGCTTTTAATGCATTAAACTCCCTCATGTTCATTTGAGGGACATTTTCAGAAAGGGGTGGACTTCCGGTTTGCAGAGCGCTGCAGGATACAGGCTCCGCCTCCTCCTTCTCTGATGTTTCTACATCCGTTTCAGGAACGACAGAAGAGTTGGCGGTGACCTCAGTTTCACATCTCTCCTCCTCCATCGCTGTAGTGGATTCAGAAACTTCAGATCCGGCTGAGGGGACTGGTGCAGCAGAAGCAGCAGAGCAGCCGAGTTTTGGTTCCTCTTTATTAAGAGGAGGTTGTGCTGAACTTTTCTCATGTGTGGACACGGTGTAGGCATCAGTGGTGCCCAAAGAGAGATAGACGTTTACTGCAATCTTCTTAGAGTCTTTGAGACGCTGCTTTCGGGTCTTTAACCTGAAATTAAAAGTTAATTTTAAATGGTTAATAATTTAGAGCTTGGGCAATGAATTGTCCACAGACGGCACAATACAATAATACAATCAGCTGTCAAACATATACAAATGATTTAAATCTGAATAAAATTGACATTAAGTAACATTAGCTTTTACTTGTGGTCTTTAGTTGTATTTCAGCTCGCATTTTGACCCACTTAGTTCCGCAAGAAAAAAACATTAAGGGAAATTTAAGACTTTTTAAGACCTTTTAATGCCACTTGAAATTAAATTTAAGACCAACTTCACAATGCACTATTTTACCCAAATATTTATTTTAACAACAACCTTTAGGTCCAGAAGAAAAAAGTTTGGCAGATAACTATTAATTCCAAACAACTATTGTTCTGCATTCATTAAGTTTTTTGTCAATAACCTACAATAAAATACTCACAATTCAACGCGTCCAACTAATTTCCTGTGTGGTTTTAAAAAAACAAAAAAGGGCTTAAATCAGAAGGGTAGTAATACAAATAATAATAATTCTTTACTTGTATAATTTATATTAAACATGCATACCAAACTTCAGACAGTTCAGGTAGTCTGCACACAGACATGTTCTCCAGCACCTTTGTTACTCCGCTGGATTCGGCCATTTCCACATAAATCTAGCCCAAAAAAATTAAAATTAGGAAGACATTAGGGATTGGTGATGAATGTTATATCAAGACAAAACTCATGAGTTTTAAAGATTTCAAAAACAAAAAAACAGTTAAGCATTGGGCTCTTCCATAAGCAAAACATTTGGTAAAATGCTGATTTTGGCAACGACAAAAAGGAAAACCTTAATGACTATCAGGAGGGAGGGGAGCATGATGAGTTCAGCTAGCAAAAAACAATAAAATTGTTTCCAGTCCAGCTACCTTTGATTGAACTCACTAGATATTACACTGAAAGCAAGTTTTTAATCTCCATCTAGAAGTTTTTCATATATAAAAATACCTGTAGATACAATCAAATACTTAAAAAATTAAATGTTTATAAAGAAAATTAACTGTTGACAATAAAAAATGTCAGATTTGGTCTGAATGTGACTTGATTTTACTACAAGAACTGTTTTTAAAAGGCAAAACTAGTCTAAGCTGATCTGATCACAGAAATATGCATTTCTGCTCTGATCTGAATGTTAGATTTTAAAACTTGTTTTCGCACCCAGTTTGAGAGCGGCAGGAAGCTGACGAATGTAGCAAAGCTTGCCACCGCAGTCATGACCGTGGAGACGAGTCTCTCGCTCGTCCCTAAAACTTCCACACACAGCAGGCGGTCCTCCAGAGACTTCAGATCTGAAACATGCTGAAAAACAAGTCAACGTTATTTAATCAAAGAGGAAATTTTTTTACACCAGAATTTCAAAAAAACATCAAACGACTCACAATGTTGCTCAGTTTCATCAAACTTCTGTACATGGACTCCTGCAAAAAATAATTATATGTATTTATTAAATAGATCTTGAAGGAATATTTTTATATTGATACGATACAGTCTTTATCTTTATGGTAAATTTCTTCTGCACCACATAGATTTTCACTTTTATAAAATGACTTTTTTTTCCTTCAGTGCGCACAAAGACCCATGTGGACTGGTTGGACGACCACCAGTCATCCACTACTGTTATGCCTCTGAGCCAGCGTGAGTGTAGATACAGGGCTGAGTTGTTGAGCAGCGTTCTACTCTAACATAAGGTGCAGCATTTGTAATCCCAAAATATGATATGAGTCCTTAAGGCTGTTATGTTTAATACTTTTACTACCATGTTATAATATAGTTGTTACATATACACGAGTAAGAATGGATTTGTTTACAAAGCACATTTGTTGCAACAACAGGAAAGTTGACATTTGCTGACTGGACTAAAAAAAACAGTCTTTTAGAAGCTCACCAGCTCTGACCCTGACAAATAGCTAAAATAAATAAACTTGGGCAACATGTTCTTGTGACCAGGATAGCTTGACCCAGACTTGGTATGAAACCAGAAAATGACCTAAACTGGAGATAATGGGAAAGTATCTTATTGTGCAACTGTTAAACTAAACTTAGCACATAAAGTAAGGAAATTTTTGTTTGTTGCTTTTTTTTATTGTAACAATAATTCTTGGCAACAAATCCTATGGAAGATTAGATATGATCAGGATTAAGTGTTAAGCTGCAGAGTTTGAGCAGTTTTCATACCTCATCAGATCTTGGGATCACGTCATTTAGGACTACATGTGTGCTGAGAACACAGTCTTTCAAACAAACTTGATTGCTGACGTGATCTGTAAGAAATCTGAAGCAAGCATCCCAGTTGTCGAAATGCACAAATGCCTGTAAATAAAATAAAAACAAAAGTCACGACATACCACAGTTACAATAAAAACAGCTGTATTAAAAGTTGTTAACTCCTGTTAGTGCTTTACCCTCCTCTGCAGTGGTAAAACGATCACATTGTTGTGCAGAGTGTAAAGATTCTGCTCAGGAAAATACTTCCACACCAGTTTAGCCAGGTCCTTGTGTGTGTAGGTTGCAGTCGGTAAACCCGTCAACATGATCGTTGGAAATCTCACTTTTTTTTGTTTAATCAACTACAGGAATGGAAGGTAAAAGTCAAATATTTATTATGCAGAAGTCGAGCTACAGACAAACATGGCTCATAGAAAGTTACAGGAAATACCAAAAAGTCTTACCAATATGTCCCTCATTTCATTGATTGTTGAAAAGTCTAGAAGCAAAACACAAAAATATAGGTTATTATTTAATTTCCAGTTTGAAAGCTGCCATACTGGATCAAAGTCATTTTTTTCCCAATGGGAAGGGGGCCATGTAGCATAAGAAAGAAGATTAGTACAGTCTCAGAAATGGATTCTGCTATCAGATTAGTAATATCTCTTGTGGCTCAGAAGTTATCAACACAAAGGAAAAACCTTCTGTTATTTATCACAGGTATGGCTGTGTTAAGCTCCACTCTTAGTGTGCATCCCAGACTAAAGATAAACACATTGTGACCAGATCAGTCAGGATGTATGTTAATGCAAGGAGTGAACAGCCTCAAATTCAGTTATATGTTATATTTAGAAGTTAAACTCAGTTTGCATGTGTTCCTCTTACCTGGGATGTTAAACCAAGGACGTTCAGTAGAGAACAAGTAGGGACTAGTTGTCATGGTTATCCAAAAAGGTGCAGTGGTGCCCTTTGGAATGTTGCTCATTGACCTCGGGATTTTAGCCCAGGCCACAATGTCGTTTCTGTGTGGCATAGCCCTCAATGGAAGTCTTGGATCTGCACGCAAGCGTAAATGGTGTGTTTAGTTTGACTACATTAAATCTTTTATGCTTGGATTTGATGTAAAAGTTGACTGTTTTTCCTGACTTTACTCTCCACATGCCTACTTTACCTTTGACAGACATTAACCCAAACTTATTGACTTTACTTAAACTCCCGATTTGATGTAGTGATTATAACCTTGATGTAATGATTATAATCTTGATCAAGTGATTATCACCTTGACATTACAAATTTAGCCTCAATGTTATGACTTCAGCTTTGACAGTACAACTTTATATTCAATGTTAAAACTTCTACCTTGAAGAAGAGACTATAGCCATAATGCTACATTGTTATTAACGTATGGTTTTTGCCTTGACATTAGAACTATAACCCTAAGGTTACAACATTACGACTTTATCCTTGAAGTAACAACTTCATCCTCACTGTTACCGCTTTATCCTCGATATTACGACTTCAACCTCAAGATAACGACTCGAACCTTGCTGTTACTACTTTGTCCTCAATGTTACAACTTCAGTGTCGATGTTATGACTCAAATCTTGTGGCTTGTACCTCGACTTTATGGCTTTGTCCTCAATGTTACGAATTTATACTCAACACTGCAAATTTATCCTAGATGTTACGACTATCCTCGAAATAACGACTTTATCCTTAGCATTACAACTTTGTCCTCGATGTTACAACTTTATACTCATCGTTATGACTTTATCCTTGACGATATGACTTCAACCTCGACGTTAAGACAAGAACCTCGATCTTACCATTTTATCCTTGACTTTTCAACATCAAACCTAACATCAAGGGTGATGTTGTGTATTAAAACTCATCATCATGGCTTTGTCCTCAATGTTATGACTTCAAACTCAACGTTATGACTTCACCTTTGACGTTATGGTTTGAACCTCAATATTACGACTTGACGTTATGACTTTAAACTCAATGTTACAACTTCAAACTTGATGTTGTGACTTAAAATTTGACATTGTGGCTTTATCCTCAACTTTATGGCTTAAAATTTGACAATGATTTTAAATAGTGTCTGGATTATGCAATATCTGTTTCATTTACAGGAGGGACGTTTGTAAATGTTTTACAGTGGTTTGCAAAAGTATTCATACCCCTTGAACTTTTCCATATTTTGTCACATTACAACCACAAACATAAATATATTTCACTGGAATTTAATGTGAAAGACCAACACAAAGTGGTATACAATTGTGAAGTGGAAGCAAAATTTTTCATGAATCAAAACATTTTTTACAAATAAAAAACTGAAAAGTGCGATGTGCAAAATTATTCAGCCCCCCTGAGTCAATACTTTGTGGAGCCACCTTTTGCTGCAATTACAGCTGCAAGTCTTTTAGGGTATGTCTCCACCAGCTTTGCACATCTAGTGACTGCAATTCTTGCCCATTCCTCCTTGCAAAACAGCTCAAGCTCAGTCAGATTGGATGGAGAGCGTTTGTGAACAGCAGTTTTGAGATCTTGCCACAAATTCTCAATTGGGTTTAGGTCTGGACTTTGACTGGGCCATTCTAACACATGAATATTCTTTTTTTTAAACCACTCCATTGTAGCTTTGGCTTTATGTTTAGGGTCGTTGTCCTGCTGGAAGGTGAACCTCCGCCCCAGTCTCAAATCTTTTGCTGACTCCAACAGGTTTTCTTCCAAGATTGCCCTGTATTTGGCTCCATCCATCTTCCCATCAACTTTGACCAACTTCCCGGTCCCTGCTGAAGAGAAGCACCCCCAGAGCATGATGCTGCCACCACCATATTTGACAGTGGGGATGGTGTTTTCAGAGTGATGTGCAGTGTTCTTTCTCCGCCACACATAGCGTTTTGCATTGTGGCCAAAAAGTTCAATTTTGGTCTCGTCTGACCAAAGCACCTTCTTCCACATGTTTGCTGTGTCCTCAACATGGCTTCTGGCAAACTGCAAACGGGACTTCTTATGGTTTTCTTTTAACAATGGCTTTCTCCTTGCCACTCTTCCATAAAGACCACATTTGTGTAGTGCACGACTAATTGTTGTCCTGTGGACAGTTTCCCCCACCTGAGCTGTGGCTCTCTGCATTTCATCCAGAGTCACCATGGGCCTCTTGGCTGCCTCTCTGATCAGTGATCTCCTTGTTCGGCCTGTAAGTTTAGGTGGACGGCCTTGTCTTGGCAGGTTTACTGTGGTGCCATACTCTTTCCATTTCCGGATGATGGATTGAACAGTGCTCCGTGAGATGTTCAAAGCTTGGGAAATCTTTTTATAACCTAAGCCTGCTTTAAACTTCTCCAAAACCATATTCCTAACCTGTCTGGTGTGTTCTTTGGACTTCATGATGCTGTTTGCTCCCCAATATTCTCTTAACCAACATCTGAGGCCGTCACGGAGCAGCTGTATTTGTACTGAGATTAGATTACACACAGGTGGACCCTTTTGAGTCATTAGCAGTCATCAGGCAACTTCTGAATGCAATTGGTTGCACTCAGGGAAAAGGGGGCTGAATACTTTTGCACGTCGCACTTTTCAGTTTTTTATTTGTAAAAAATGTTTTGATTCATGTAAAATTTTGCTTCCACTTCACAATTGTATACCACTTTGTGTTGGTCTTTCACATTAAATTCCAGTGAAATATATTTATGTTTGTGGTTGTAATGTGACAAAATATGGAAAAGTTCAAGGGGTATGAATACTTTTGCAAACCACTGTATTTTTTAACAAAATATATAAAGCAGGAATAAAAATGCCTCACATTTCTTTCTTTAACATTGCTTCTGTAACTTTAAAATCAAAGATATGAGTATGTTACTATTTGCTCTTTTGAAGCTGCTGGGCAGACCCGTTCTGTGTACGCTATGTGGAAGACGCTGTTTCAGGAAGCTGTACCAAACTCCAAGACGATCAGCATCACAAGGGTTACTAAATTCAACAAACACCTGGAATATCGAAACAAAAGAAAAAAGAAACAGAAAGTCATTCCTGTATTCAACTCGATGTGTATTTATAGGTGTGTATGTTTGTACCTTGTTGAGCAGAGGCACATAGTTTGTTACGTCGCCAATTTTTTTTAAAGCGATTCTAAGGTCTGTGGCTTCGCTTGATGAGATGTTCTTGATGTAAACTACTGAAGAAGAGGTGTGCTTCCTTTTCTGATTTAAAACATTAAAGGTGTATATTTAAAGGAAAACAAAACAGATGTGACAACAATTTTACTGTTTTTCTCAATTTCCAGTCAAACCTAGGCAGCAAATTGTTAATCAAATTTTAATGCAAATGTGTGGATTAAAAACAGTCAATGGAAATGTTTTCTAACAAGAAGAATAAAAGAAGTACTTACAGAGCTTGTGACATTCATAAAAAATGTGTAAAATCCAAACTGAAAAAGGCAACACAGTATCAATAACATAAAAAAATATATAATGTACAAACACAAAAGTGGGTAACTTTTGTGTAAAATTGCTGTTAGCTAATATAGCTAATATAGGAACTGTTGCAACTATAATTACAGTTTATAAAAAACAGTTTACTAAAACTTATTTAACACACTCCTCTGCATGGCTCCTTATTCACGTGAAAATCTTCTGTTTAAACTTACTAAGGTGTACTTTTGGACGCAGAAAACCTGAAAGCAGAGTTTGGACCCGTTAAGAGTCCGGTTGTTGCTGATTGGCCTTTTGAAAAACTCCTGCACCTTCCTCACATGTGGTTGACAGACAAAAGCCTAAAAATATAACAAACACACCACTTTATTTTGTCCTACAAATCTAACACAAATAAATGTTTCAAATAATAATGATAATAACAATAATAATAATAATAATAA